TTTTTTTTTGTTTTCAAAGATCGTAGGATGCTTTTGTAGATAAACTAGAAATTTGGCCTTGAATATTCTATAAGTTTATTTTTTTCTTTGTACGTAATTTGTTGAATGTTAATGTGTTTAAACAATCTTAACAAAAACATGAACACTAAACCAAATTTTCACCCATTAGTCCATTATGCAATTTGTTTATTTTAATTCGTATATTTTAACTGATTTATTTAATAAGTTTGTCAGTTCCTTTTTTTAGTTTCAGGCATACTTATGAAAAAATATTTGAAAAGAAAAGAAACCAAAATACTGTGTCATCTTCGGGTGCTTCAAATTTTATGCTCTCTGTGGTTGAGCTTCTTGTTATTGGAACGGTTCAACTACACAGTGCTTGAGTTTGAATTTTGAAATTGTTTTCAATCTCTGTGGTTAATTCTCCTGTAAAAGTGCCGATTTCACTTGGTAAATGGTGTTGCAATCTTGCAATCTACAAAGTCGTTGATCAATTCCAAAACAAGTACAAAGGGTGCAACTGGATTTGCATTTTGAAATTATCTCAAAAGAACGATCTTGCAAAAGAGATTGAGTTAAACAAGATTTACCAAATAATGGTAATACTCTATAAATGATTTGAAATGGATTGAATCGAACAATGTTCTTATCGTCCTTTTATTTTTGCTTTAGAAATCGTTCTAATTTCCATTCATTGACAAGTTATCAATGAGTCACACACTAATGGAGGCCCTGAAGCATCAACTTTTCATATACCTTCATTAAAATGTAACTAAGAAAGTGACTGTAATGTGTTTAAAAGCGTACACATAGAGAGAAACTTGTCAAGAAAACATTTTAATTACGCATAACTTTTAAGAAATAAAGGCTTTAAAACAGTGTGGGCTCATGGAAGTTTAGGGTCGCCAGAGGATTTTCTGGTGAGTTTTTCAGGCGACTTAGGGAATTTAGAAGGGTTGTGTTTGGTGAACCAAGTAGTGTACAAGAACTGCTTGTGAGGACCAACATGGTTACATATGAGCTTCAGCTTCTGTCTCTCTCTCATCCACCTTAGTATTATCTTCATGTGACGCTTGCTCGTTAGCCCTCTTAATCCCACTTCCTATTCAAATTTATTATACCAATCATCAAATTAACATTAATAGTGTTATTTGAAAACTAACCAACAACTATTCGAGTCCGTAGAGTAAGAGTTATCGCTACTCCACGTATAACCATTTGGTTTTGAGATACAGCCTATGACCCTTCACATTCTATACCTTTGGCCGATTGAGAAGAGTCACTATAGTCTATAGGTATCAAAATATCAATCCCAAACCTCTAACAAAGAATATGAAAGCATCTCGGAATGTAGAAGATCGAGAAACAATCATTCTACTTGTCAAAGTCATTCCAAAACCTCTAACAAAGAAAATGAAAAAGCATATGGCATTCTGAAAGAGTACCTTGACACGATCCCAAGTTTCAGCAATGGTGAGAGGTCCATGCTCCTTCAATATATCAAAGATCACCCTGGTTATCGTCTGGGTTTGCTCCGGTGGTGTGTTCAGCTCAATCGGTTTCATCTTGGGTTTGGGTTTCGTGGCAAAATGCCTTACTAACAATCCAACTGCACTGTGATGGCTTCTGTTCCAAGGCATCATGTTCCGCAGCATACTCAGAGATTTCTTCACCAGCATCTAGAAATGAAGAACATTTTTAACTCAATCACTATTAGGAAAGACAAAACTGAATCTTTAACCACTAATCTACTAACCCTTACTTCAAGTTATCAGAGAACCTTCCATAATATACTCTTACATCTCCTAATTCTCGACTATAACGAAATGGATGCGATCAAACCGTTATGTTCCTAAATTACGACTCTATAGAATTCCTATTCCGAATAGGTAAAGAAGTCAGCATCTTGGGCAATAGAATGAGAAACAAACCGGCTATCCCGAGCTTGAGTCTCAGCTACGCATTTTCTCGAACACCTTGAGTGCAATATGAGCGTCGCGGTGTATCAACCACAAAGGTTAATACAAAACAGAAAACAAAAGACTCGGACCAGATAGACACAAAGGTTTAAATCCAAGCAGTCGATTTTTGAGAGAGAAGGCCAAAAGGGTCAGTTTGCGAGGAAGGAGATTGGAGAGAGATTACACTACACCTTGTAGTGAACTACAAAAGCAATGTATTTTAAGCCCGTGACTGATGAATACTATTCTTAAGGTTAATGGATAATTTGACAAGAAAAGAAAAAATAACAAACAAACTGTATGAGCGTTAATGTTGTAAAGGTGGATGGATACTTTTGAAAATTTCTTTGGGGTTTACAACTTTCTCCAACAGCTATTGTGATCTGAAAACTTTTAAGGGAACTCTCAAATCCATCAGTTTGTTACAACACAAAGCCACAAATGGCTTGAGAAAATGAAAAGGTTAAAACTTGAGAAAAGAGAAGAAAGATGCAGTGGATTTCTTCATGAAGCTCTCAAAATGATTCACTCTTAACACTTTCATCCACTTGCGATTTCCTAGGACAACTTCAACGACGTTTGCTGCTGTGCCTCTTGCTCTTTTTCTTTCTACTGTTTCTGTCTCCATCAGAAGACGAGTCCGAACCTGATTCCGAATCAGATGACTCGGATGAAGAAGAGCTGTA